ATTAGAAATATATAATGTAAAAATAACAAAGGCAGGATAAATAAAGAAATGAGGGTAAGGTGGAACTGCTTAACATCTTTTTTGTCTTTTCTCAAAAGAGCGAAAGTGCCTTTCCTAATATGACTCAGCAGAGAAGGAAAAACACGCTTCAGGATTGATAAAGGTATAGTAAGAATCCACTCTGCAATCTTAAATGATTTCTTTTCTCCAACACCACAAGATGTTGAAGAAATGGTCAAAATCTCTTCTCAGAACTGCTGTATGCAACTTTTGATGGAAACTGAGTTGGAGAGGAACAAGAATATTGGAGAAGAGGCCAGTCTCGTTATTCAAAAGGGGAAGTGAAAGGAATCAGACAGATCAGTTTACCTTGTCTTGTACTAAGAAAGGTATGAGAAAAGATGTCATTTTGCGAGCACTGTTGCTATTGTTACCAGGATGTGTTGTTAAGAACACATCATATTATACGATACCTCTCCTCATGACAGAACAAGTTGCCTGTAAGGCTAGGAGAATATTCTAGGAGTAGTGACTTTCATCTCAGTCAGAGTCTTGATGAAATGTATAATGCATTTCTAAACAAGAGGCATATAGACAGATGGTGCTGCAGTCCAGAGAATTTGCAATGGGTTGAACAATTCATAAATGGTTCTGCTTTGTTCTGGAAGGGGCAGTATCAAGTGGGAGCCCATCAGATTCTAGGTTTGGCCATATGCTAATAGACAATTTTTAAAATGAGAATCGTATTGAATTGCTGTTCATTAAATTTTTAGATGACATCAAGCTGGGGGTAGGGATGGGTGTCCAATACTTTTAAAGGACATAATCCTATTAAAAATAAAGTACAATGGAGAAACATCTTTTTAAATTAAGGATGACACTCAGAAAATAAGATGTATACCCCATACATGGTTGAAGAGCATTTTTTCTCTTCCTTTGACATCATCTAAGCTATCTTCTCTTGTTACAGCACAACCATTTTCAGTAGAATGGCATCAATAAAAATTACATTATAGCTTTTTGCAGAAGCATCAAGAGTATCTAATATTTATGGCAGATCACAGTAGGGAGCCTCTTGGTAAACAGCTATAGACATTGTAAAAGTAATTTCCATTGGGCTTCAATTTCCAGTTTTAAAGTCTGCGACGGGGAGAATCTATGTACATTAAAATGAAAGAAAGTGCATTGCCTATAAATAGGCACAAAAGAAATGATTTATTCAAGCTTACATTTGTCAAACCTTAGCACATACTGGATCAGTGAATCACAAGACATCTTTTCTTTAAATCACTCCTCTGTCTCTTTGTTTTTCTCCGCTCTTCCTTCAGCTGAGTTAAAGTAATACCGGTAATCTTTGACTTATGACTTGTCATTTAGCTACCATTTGCAATTTGGATTCCCCAAAACTATTTATGACTTATTTTCCAAGTTTGAGGATAGCCCCCTATAGACACATGATCACATTTTGGGCACCTGATAACAAGCTCATCTTTATGGCCATTTTCAGGGTCTTGTTAGTCACATAACCACAATTTGCAAGATGTTTTTTCTGGTTTCAGGTAGTTACTTCAAATTTCTGGCAAAAAATGCCGTGGGGAAAATTGATTCTCTTAATGAGCACTGCAAAAATGTTGAAAAATCAGGTGCAGTCACATGATGCTTTGACTTACTATCACAATGACTTGTGGGCATAATTCAGGCTTGATTTCAGTCATAATCTGAGGATTAATTGTATACACATGGAACTGGTAAAAAGCTATGCCAGCATAAAATATGTTGCCTTCACTAGTCATCCCTATCCTCTCATAGACACAATGACAACAAATGCAGTTGTCCTTGATTACAATTTACAGGAAATATCAAAGCCAAGGATTGGTGTATTTCCCATCCCTTCCATCAAACATAATCAGCAGGAAAGCCTACGCCAATTCTTGTTAATGTGGATTGGATTTGAAGCTTGCGGAGGAGGCAAATTTTGACATAAGCCTAGACTAATAAATTTGATTCTTCGCTAGAATGCCCTGTTTTTCCCCTCAAATGCTTTGTGCAGATTCATGCAAAGGGAATCTGGCTTTCAGCTGATGTTAACTGATAGTCAACTTCCTTTTGGAGGCAAGTTTAGTACTATTTCAGAAGAGTACTAAAACCTTGTTCAAAAGCAGACTGAATACATCTGATGGCAGGGAGGGTTGCACCATGAAACAGTAGAAAACTGTGCATCCCACCTCCTGCTACCATTGCAGCTGCTGTTCAAGGTGTTCCAGGCCAGGAATAACTTCAGAGAATAATCGGTACAGGGGAACTGCACTTTTCTGCTACCTAAAAGAGAATGACAGACAACAGTGCATATAGACTAAAGGAATGAGGCCCTAAAATGTCCAATAAATGCCAAGCTTATTATTATATCCCTTTAAGAATCACCTGAGTGAATCAGCTATGAACTCCCTTTTTATGAACCCGCTGCTGCTACCCATGAATGAACTCCCAACTTTCCAAGTAGGAAGCAAGCATCTTCCCCACTAGGCCACCACACCATTCAGCGAATCACCTATAACAGGGATGTCAAACTCAAGGCCTGTGGGTTGGATGCGGCCCAAGGGGTGCTTAAATCTAGAAACAGCAAAGGACCGGTCTGTGGTGCCTCTGCCAGTGAAAACGGAGCTCAGGTGGGCTAGGCACCACCCTCCCAGACTCCATTTTCAGCCACAACTGCCTCCTGCCGCCCTCTGCCAGTGAAAATGGAGCTTGGGGGCCTGTTTTCACTGGCAGAGATCTCGGGCCACCACAGACGCACCTGACACGAGTGACATCAAGCTGGCCACACCTACCATGGCCCCCAAGGTCAAAAACCAGGGGTGGGTTCTACTTACCCTTACTACCAGTTCCCAACAGGGACGCACACGCGCGCTCGCTTCGCTCATGCACGCACGCACTTCTGCGCATGTGCAGAAGCATTTTGGTAACGTCGGGGTTGGTGGGCGGGGCCTCCTGCCGGTTTTACTACTGGCTCTATAGAACCGGTGCGAGCCGGGGGCAACCCACCACTGTCAAAAACAACCCTAGGAGCCTGAGTGGCGTAGGAGGTTAATGCCTCCTAAAGGCAGCATTTAATATCCAGCTGCCTGCAATTACTGCGAGTTCAATTCTCCCCAGGCTCAAGGTTGACTCAACCTTCCATCCTTTCTAAGGTGGATAAATTGAGGACCCAGTTTGTGGGGGCAATAAGCTGACTTTGTATAAATATACAAAAGTATGAAGGCTATTGCTTAACGCATTGTAAGCCGCCCTGAGTCTCCGGAGAAGGGCGGCATATAAATCAAATTAAAAAAACAAACAAACAAACAAACAAAAAACCCTGATGCAGCCCTCAATGAAATCAGGTTTGACACCCCTGACCTATAAAGTGGCTGCTTAAAAGTCACTTTAGAATATCCATGGGAAACTTATGTCACAGTAATATAGCTGGTACCATTTCAGCTAAGGATAATGATTTTAAGACTGATTCATTTAAGAGATGGTGATCAGATGAAGGAACATCATGAAGACCCAGCAAAAAAAATGGTTGCTGGGGATATGTGTGCCATATTTAGATGCAAATGAGTTCTGAATCACTCACTCTTTCACTCACCATAAATGCACACAGTTACAAGATGGATTGAAAAAAAACCCTAAGAAGAATTAATGGGACCTGCATCAATATTGCATATTTACGTTGAGAAATTCCCAAGCTCAGCCTCTGCCATTTCGAGTAAAAAAAAATTACAGACAATAAGAAAAAGTCTTATCTAACTTCTTGCATAGCAATGACTACAGAAGCTAAAATTAAGCACATATGCGAGATACCTTTCCAGGGAATGATAATAAAGCTATTATTTCTGTAAATATACACTCCATGAGTTCTATTTCTGTTTGTTTTGGTTCTTTCAGAGAAACATGGCCTAGGAAATACTTTTCTTAGTGGTAATTTCTCTAGCAAATTCCAGAATTGCAGCTTTGTAGATAAATACTAGAAGGATTTCTGAACATTCCTAGCATTTTCCAGTTAAGGAGAATTCTGATAAAGATTAGATCATAGTACTATTGTAGGAAACTTGGCACCAGGCAGTATCCTTTCTTGCTTCAAAAATATATCTTAAATGAAGGTGTTTGTGTGTGTGTGTGTGTTTATGTGAATAAAATACAGTAGATTTTTGCTCTGCAAAGATCATAAACTTCCATATAGGTCACCCATCCCTGCATATAATTAATACACCATTAATATTCAATCTTCTGCTTACTTCCAAGAAATTGTTCTTGTGATTTACAATATCACGTTCCTCACAAAAGATTCCACTTCAGAGGAAGATCTGGACTTCTACTGGTTCAGCCAAGTTAATCTTGATTCCTCAGGAGAGTTATTACTAAAGCTGCCTTTTGAAATGCAAAGATTCTCAGAAAGGGAACCAGATCCCAGTTTTGAAAGTTTTCTTTCTCTTGTTTTGACATGAAAAATGAAGCATATTGTTCAAGTGTTAATGGGAGTATGCTTTTTAGGCTGCATTAGTTAATGGATGGGTTGATCCATTAACAATGTAAAATTATGCCCTTTCCTGAATTTCTATTTTTGCTAGATACAAGATATTTCACTTTTATTCTTTCTTGAAAGGATGGAATTGACTTCAAATGCCTTTTATGTAACTTATTCGTATTTTAAAATTTTTCTAATCCTTCTCAAAGGCGTATAATTTTAGTACTTTCTTAATGAAATGAGACCAAATTAACTGTATCTATTGTTACATAGATACAATCATCTGTATCTATTGTTTTTGAATATAGCAGAACTTTGCTAATTTATATTAAGCATTTAGTAACAGAATCTCTACAGTTAATTTGTTCACAGTTATTAAATGCACAAACAATTGTTGAAAACTGTTTAAGCTACTGAATTGCCATATAATTTTATTTATTTTATTCATTTAATTGTAATAATTCATAATATACTTCAATAATAGATACCGATATTTAGAATAAATTGCACAGCATTTGTTTATATTTGATTCTTAAGTAATTCCCTTTTACATTATTCCTCAGTGATTGCCTTCATAGTTAAGCTTTAATCAATGTTCAACAAAATTATATTCACATTTGAGCTACAATGCAAAAGCCATTGGAATGTAATCAGTTTTTGTACACAGTTACACAATTATTGCTCTTTTACACAGTTATTGCTCTTTTCCATGGGGCTTTAATATTCTAGCATTCATTTTGATCCCTAATTACAAGAGAAACAACACGGATACATAACAGTTAACAAAAATAATCTGATATCATTCAAAATGGAGATATTATGGTCTTCAGAATGTACTTTATTTCACTTGAAGTGTAAACACTCAAACCATTAAAAATGTAAGTGAACAATCTTTAAAAGGGACTGCTACCAACCAGTCTTGCTATTAACATGGTTACAATATAATAATAATATGGTTTGCAATTTCTTTTGCTAATCTCAGCAGTGTGAACAAATAAGAATAAAGAGAGCTCTTTTGCAAGTAAGTAAGCGGATGCAGTGGGTATAAAGTTGCTATGCAAAACCAAGCTGTATTTGTACAGAGTAGCTAAATAACAAAGGAAGTCACTTTATCCAAGTTTAAACAAGTAAGTATCTACCTGTAACAGTTTAAAAAAATCAGAAGAATGAACTGCAGTTTTCTCAAAGACTGCCCTCTGCCCAGCAGCTACGCATATGCCCAGTTAATAGTAGTGACATATGTGAGAATTGACACCAGCATAAGGGTAAACGTTCCACTATTATGGGAAGAGAGACTGGCCATGCATACTCCTAAAATAACATTGATTCTGCAGTTGCAACTGACCAGGCATGTGAATGGAAAGCAATGGAAATTCAAGTACTTTGCACACAGGCTCTGCAGAGATTATGAGACCAAAGGCAGCAAATCTATTCTCTAATTAAGAATTCACCTATGAATTCACCTGCAGAAAGAAAAGCTGAACTCAATATTGTACTTACCAAGCTTTTTGGAATACAAGAGTCAAACCTCTGTAAGAGATTAATGCATTTATTACTGAATTGACTTTCCTGTCTTTTTTTCTCTTTCCCCCTTTTATTTATTTACTACCCAAACTCTGAAGTGTAGCATATATTCAGAATTTTTAAGCATTTTGAAATTGACAATCAAAATTTGTCATCCTGCAGACAATAAATTTCCATTGACGATCTCTGCAAAGGAAGAGAAATAAAAAATGAGGTTTAATACATTGTAAATAGGAAGACAATACCAAATATGTTAGGATTCTGATTTAGATTTATTTACATTAGATTTTTAAAAATGAACTATGGTTTTCTAGCAAAAGAAAAACAACCATGAATAAATATTTATTCTTTCCTTCCTTTAACAAGGTCTCTAGCATGATTTTGAAATACTTGGGCCCAGTGGTGGGATTCTGGGGGTTCTAGGGGGTTCGGCCAAACCCTTTGTTAAATTGCTGGCTCACCCCGCCCCTTGCCCCGCCCCTCCGCATTACTATTTATTCCCAATAAATGGGGCGAGCAAGCCAGCAATTTAACAAACGGTTCGGTGTTTTTTGTAATTTATTGGCCCCGCAGCACACCGAACTGTTTGTTAAATTGCTGGCTCGGCCGCTCCTCGCCCCGCCCCGCCTCCCACCAGCACGGCCATAGCCTACCGTACCCAGGGGTAGGCAATTGTGGCTCTTTTACAACCTGTGGACTTCAACTTCCAGAATTCCTGAGACAGCTTGGCTGTCTCAGGAATTCTGGGAGTTGAAGGCCATAGGTTGTAAAAGAGCCACAATTGCCCACCCCTTCCCTAGCCTGAGTTCCGCTGCCTGGGATCCACGTGGGCTGCCACGTGGTTCCCCACCGGCTCCGGACGCAAGAGAGCAGGATGGAGAAAGCAGCTTCTACGCCTTCGCTCACCCTCACTCTCTGCTCTGTTGGATTGCCGGCCGTTCGCTTACCCCGCCCATTCCCAATCTATTGCTGCCTCGGGAGTCCCAGCTGATGGCTAGAGGAAAAAAAACTTCAAATTCTTGCCGCGGGGCTTCAAAGGGCCGCCCTAGAGCCAGTGGTGCAGCCGAACCGTTTGTTAAATTGCTGGCTTGCCCCGCCCCTCCGCACCATTATTTATTGCCAATAAATAGTGGTGGGCGAGGGGCGGGGGAGCCAGCAATTTAACAAAGGGTTCGGTGTTTTTTTGTAATTTTATTGGCCCACGGAGCTTCAGCATAGGCTAATTAGCCCCTTGATTCTACTGGCCTCCCGGCTCTCAGCTGATTTGTCTCAGCTGTTTTGCTCAGGGCTCTGCTACTTCCTTGCAAAGAGTCCTGGAGCAATTTTTTTTCCCCCTAGCTATGCTGAAACACGAAACTGAAACTGGTTTGCTGTTGCTGCAAGGTTGGAAAATTAGGCAGGCAGAATTCTTTTCTTTTTCCTCACCAAAAAAGGTAGGTGCAAACAATGGGAAATTTAGGGAAAAAGATGAGAGTTCAGGATTTTAAAACACAAAAGAAAAAAAGCTCTATTTAACTAGGGAATTGTAATAATTGAGATACTATTAATTGTATATTTCTGAAAGCAGAAATGGTTAAGTTGTGGTTTGGAGGAATATATGGGGGAAATTATTTGGTTTATTATTATTGGTAAATATAATTAATTGATTTGTAAGAAATTGGATTGCATGGAAATAATTGGAATATTCATGTTCATATTGATTAATATACAAAAAAGGTAGTTATATAACTAATTGATTTATATTAAAATGTTGAATTTATTTTAAACAACTGTAATATTACATAATTAACCAATGTGAGGATGGATATAAAAATAGATGACAATGGGAAGGGGTATAATATAGAATAGAAGGGAAAAATTGAATTTGATTAAGATTAGAGATGAGGATGAAGGGTAATATTTGTTTTTTACAAAAATAGATGAGGAATAAATATGGCAAAAAGGAAATATAGAAATTGTAAATTTAATTGAAATGACTAAACACTGTTTAAATTTGTGAACCGGCCAAATACTCTGTTCAAAGAAAATACATTGTAAGTTTGTATGTGTGTTTCTAATTATTGTTATTTATTCATATTTGTTCTCTTTTATTCTTTAAAGTTTAACAATTCATTCTTTATCTAAATATCTTTATATTTGTTTGGGGTTGGCTTTCTTCCCTTTCATCTTTTTTATTGTACAGCAATCTTTCTCCTCAAACCTACTACCTCTGTCTTTTCTTTCCTTCTTACTTTCTCTACCCCCCTCTTCTTCTTCTCCCTACTTCCTCTTTCTTTCTCCTTCTCCTCCTCTCTTCCTCCCTCTCTTACCCTCCCTCCTACTCTAATTTCCCTTCCCTTCCTTCATCCCTCTCTATTGCTGTATCCTTTTATACATATGGACTACTCAGAGGGCTGAAAAAGTTATTTCTGACTGGTCCTCGCACTTTTGACCAGTCCTCGAACTTATGACTGTCCTCACAATTTACGTTTTTGCCCTATCTTGTCACCATGGTGAAGAGAAGCAGTTGTGAAATGAGTGACATGGTTGTTAAGAAAGCTGCACGGGCATAAATGTGAGGATGGTCGTAAGTGTGAGGACCGGTCAAAAGTGCAAGGCCCAGTCAGAAATGACTTTTTTCAGCCCTCTGAGTAGTCCCTATGCACATAGCCACGCCCACCCAGTCACATGACCAGCTAGCCACGCCTACACAGTCATGTGACCAGCTATCCACGCCCACCCAGTCACATGATTGCCAAGCCACACCCCCAACTAAGCCACACCCACAGAACCTGTTGTTAAAAAAATTGAATCCCACCACTGCTTGGGCCTAAACAAAATTGCTATACTTTATCTTTTTTATCTCATAGAATTTTCCCAAAATGCAATTTTATCCAGAAGCAATGCTGCTTAGAAACAAACTAAAGCAAAACATATTGCATTGAAAAAGAGGAAGAAACAAATTTTCTATTATTAAAAATGAGCAGATATTATAGCTACGGTATATTCTTTTAGCTCAGATGCAATGATTAAGTCAGTTTGGTGTAATGGTTAAAGCTACCAGGCTACAACCTGGAAAAATATGAATTTGAATCTAGGCACAAAGTCAGGTGACTTTGGACCAGTCACTATGTCTCAGACCTAGGAAAGAGACAATGAAAAACCACTTCAGAAAATCTTTCCAAAACAACTGCAGCAGAGGTGGGTTTCAGCAGGTTCTGACCAGTTCTGGAGAACCGGTAGCGGAAATTTTGAATAGTTCGGAGAACCAGTAGTAAAAATTCTGATTGGCTCCGCCCCCATCTATTCTCTACCTCCCAAGTCCCAGCTGATCGGGAGGGCGTTTTGCAATATCCTTCCCCTGGAGTGGAGTGGGAATGGAGATTTTACAGTATCCTTCCCCGGCCACACCCACCAAGCCACACCCACGGAACCAGTAGTAAAATTTTTTGAAACCCACCACTGAACTGCAGGGATTCATTCAGGCAGTTGCCAGGTGGTAATCATCCCTTGAAGGCATACCCCAAAAAGAATGATTTACTACAATATTGATCGTCTATCGATCTGAATTGTTTTTTATCTCAAGAATGTTCAAACTACTCTGAAAGCAAATGTACAGTTTGCTTGATGTTTTTTCTTTTTGCTCTCAGATGTAAAGTATGGTCAAGAACAGGCCCTGTCATAAATTGATTCTTTCATTATAACGTTAATGAAATAAGCAAGGTCATCCTCTCTAAAAGTTTACAGCAAAATATCAGGAATTCAGTTATAGTTTCTTTTGATCTTACAACTTCAAATTGTTACGTTAAATTGCTTCAGTTTTTAAGGAATCTTCCCTTAATTCTGCAAAAGGTGTAGAAGCCACTTCAGTCAAATAAGTACAGTACTGTAGATCTATATTCTAAAAATATTGAAATTAATATCTTGAATTACTATACAATATCAATATCAGTATTTAATATATAATAAAATCTCCTCTTCCTGTTAATGTCCAGTGCTAAGCACTTTCTACACTTAAAGTATTTGTTTTAGATTTGCCATTACTGAAAAGGAGTCTATTAAGATACTGTTGTGAGATAAAAATAGGTTGATGTAAGTCTGACTGTTAGCTGATAGTAAACTGTTAAAGATTCATTGTCATTCTGCCTCTCAGAAAAGTCATCATGCTTTCCATTATGTCCATTGCTCCTACCACCATATTAGGCAATTATTTCATCTTCATCTTTTTTTAAAAAAAAGTTTCACAGTGCAATCATCCATTTGTGTTAAGGCAAAGATTCAGCTTTCAACAGTATTTCTGAATCTGACCTTTCTACACCAGAGAACGTTGTAGTTGCTCCACGGATATAATGATCATAGGTGTACAACATCATATCCATATCTTCTCCATAGTGCTCAGGATGTTCTGATGTCATCCTTATAAGTCAGGAAAAAGAAAATAACAATCATTTCTCTATTTTGTACAGTAATAATAGTCTATTGCAAACCCCATTGATAGTTGAGACTCAATTCAGATAGTTGAGCAGGTGTTGGATAAATCTCAGAAGTCCTGAAAAAAAATTACCGTATATTTCTGAGTATACGATGCACTTTTTTTCCCTCCTAAAAGAGGCTGAAAATTTGGGTGTGTCTTATACCCCAAATGTAACGCCCTGTGGTGCCCAAAATAGCTACCTGGAACAGCTGGTGCCTTCTCTTACCCCTTCCGCCTTTGCCTGCTTTCGTCACTGGAGTTCCCTCTGAGGATCAGCTGTGCTTTTGAAGCTGTTTTTCAGCCCCAAAGCGAGCGAAGCGATCTTCCATGCTTTGCCTACTTTTCTAATTGTTGCTCCCTCTGACAATCAGCTGTGCTTTAGAAAGCACAGCCCCAATCAGCCTCAACCTCAAAACCAGCAAGTAAACTAATGTGCTGAAGCTGACGCCCCAAACAGCCCCAACCTCAAAACCAGCGAGCGAACTAATGTGCTGAAGCTGACGCCCCAACCTCAAAACCAGCAAGTTAACTAATGTGCTGGGACTAGCCAGATGAATACCTGGTAAGCAGAATCCCCTCCCCATTTTCCTCCCCAAAAACTAAGGTGCGTCTTATACTCCAAAAAATACAGTAAGTAATCTTCAGCAAATAGGAGTAGAGTGTTCTTTCTTTCTTTTTTCAAAGAAGTTTCAGTTTTATTTTTAAAATTCTAATTAGAGAATGTGACTATCCTTGGTCAGAATATTAATTCTTTTTAAAAGCATGAAATAATGCTTCTCCAAAGAAAAGTCAGCATATCCTAGGAATCCATTCTTCTCCTCTTGATACCAATTCCTGTGGATCTGGGAAGGGAGACAGAAAAAGCTATGAGTTTTATCAGTTTAATTTTCTATTATATGTCTTAAAATGTGATAGGATCCGATTTGAGTGAGTCACTGGGCCCCGAGGCCTGGTCTTCCAAACTTTCAGACTCGTGCTGGAGCCCATCCTTCTGTCTCTCCAGAATGTAAAAATGTGATCTTTAAACTTAAAATGTGATCTTTAAAGTGGTATTTTAAGGCCACTACTCATAGCTAGCTAAAGGAATAAGTTTTGCATTAAAACGAGAATAAGGAGTTTTACGTCCTTACTGAATGCAATGATATATATTATATACTATACTATTCAAAGCCAATATATGAATGCAATGTCCATCTTGATCATGGAGAAATTTCATCTGTCAATCCACTATAGGCTTGTCCCTTTTCCCTTATACTGTATATGAGTCAGACCTTGGAATGAGCCTTGAGCAGTTGTTTTCAGAGTAATTGGCTTTTAATCCAAATAGGTCAGAAATGTATGTAGTCCAGACCAAAGTAGATACTGTTCCAGAAAAGCAAATGAGTTCAGAATGACCAGGAGTACCTAATCCAAATCAGACAAGGTTTGAAATTCAAAGGAATAGGGAAAATCAGAGGCTAGATTTATAGACCAAAATTGACATAAATTTACCAATGATAGTTAAACACTCAAATGCTTATTCCTGTTAATTCCTATTCTTATGGAATTCCAGATGACCGATCCTTGCATTACTTCATGCTTCTGATTCAATCATTTAAATACAATTGGGATTGTATAGATTATTCTATTTCTATATTTATTAGCATGTTTGGATACTTCAGGAAAAAATGAGAGTCTATCAACATTTGCTCTTTAGAAACAATAGTGGAGAACAGATAACTATCCAATCAGGGCTTCTAGAGAGAAATGAATGCCTCAGTATATCCCCTCAGTTTCAAACTAAAACATTTTACCCTTCCCTCTTGTTTTTTTAAAAAATCAACAGATTAAATGTGATGTTGTAATGCAGTATTTAGGGAGCAAGTTTCTTTCTTATGCTGGCTTGATGACAATCTGTGCTTTAACCTACTATTACCCAAAGATATGATGGGAAGATATAGTAAAAACTCTTTTCTGCAGTAGATCAGTTTCATTCTTCTGTTTCATGATGCCTACCAGGATATTTATTTTACCTGACTGTAATTTTTTTAGTTAAAAATAATGAAATTGGAAATTTCTACATTGTATCATCTTTGAGCATATCTTCATTTTGTGGACTGCTTCATCTACATTCTTAGAAAATAGTAACTGTGGGTAGATAGCAATAGCAATAGCAATAGCAGTTAGATTTATATACTGCTTCATAGTGCTTTACAGCACTCTCTATGTAGTTTACAGAGTCAACATATTTCCCTCAACAATCTGGGTCCTCATTTTACTAACCTCAGAAGGACAGAAGGCTGAATCAACCTTGAGTCAGTCAGGATCAAACTCCTGGCAGCGAGCAGAGTCAGCCTGCAATATTACATTCTAACCACTGTGCCACCGTGGCTCCTTACAGTCGATACAGTCATTACTTCTTACTTGTTGAGAAATAAACAAATTAAGGGGTAGAGGAGGTATAGCAAGATATTTAAAAGTTAGAGGAGTCAGCAGGGTATAATATTACCAGTTTGCCTGCAGAACAGTGGTCAATTTTTGGACAGTTCCCATGGCAGATATGTTGTAAAAAACATATGTGCCATGGGAAAATTCCACATAAACCAACCACCCCAGAGAGTTGTATATATTTATGCAACTCTCATGTTCAATAAGATGAAATAGGAAAGACTTGTATGTTATGGTAACGTGCCCAAAGTGTTAACAAACAGAAATTAAGAATGTGAAGTTTCATTTTGTTAGCACAGTGCAGGGGCGTCTATCTGTCTATGCCTTCCTAACAATTACAGAGAATAAAATTACTCTGTATTTCTCCATAATGAAGCATATAAGCACCAACTTTCTTGGGTAAGTTTACTTTTTCATAAACCCAGTGTATGTGATTTAATTACTGGTTGTTCTGCTTTTTTCCTTATTTTTCAAAAGACCATTCAATGCATTATCTAAGCACTAGTTATAACAGGATAACATTTCTTTGGGGGGGAGGGGAGATTTTAAAAAGCACCGTACAATGTACTCTAAAATTCTGGAACTATTTACAATTCAGACTGATTATACTATGTCAGGAATTTTCAGCTTGCCTATGCAATGCATGTGGAAGCAATAAAATCTAGACAAACCTTTGCTCCTTATTTGATTAAAATTGCACACTGTTCCCATCACATCCAGGTCTCCATATACAAAGAATAGAATAGAATAGAATAGAATAGAATAGAATAGAATAGAATAGAATAGAATAGAATAGAATAGAATAGAATAGAATAGAATAGCAGAGTTGGAAGGGACCTTGGTGGTCTTCTAGTCCAGGGGTGGGCAATTGTGGCTCTTTTACAACCTGTGGATTTCAACTCCCAGAATTCCTGAGACAGCTTGGCTGTTGTAAAAGAGCCACAATTGCCCACCCCTGTAATCTAGTCCAACCCCTGCTCAGGCAGGAAACCCTATACCATTTCAGACAAATGGTTGTCCAATCTCTTGTTACAAATTTCCAGTGTTGGAGAATTCACAACTTCTGCAGGCAAGTTTTTCCATTGGTTAATTGTTCTAACTGTTAGGAAATTTTTCCTTAATTCTAGTTGCTTCTCTCCTTGATTAGTTTCCATCCATTGCATCTTGTCCTGCCTTCAGGTGCTTTGGAGAATAGCTTGACTCCCTCTTCGTTGTGGCAACCCCTGAGATGCTGCTTGCAGTGGCTTGTCCTTTTCAAGGCAGACTCAGGCATGTGATAGAGGGAATACAGCTTGTGAACACATTTGTACCTTTTCACCATTTGGCATAAGCCATTATTTCAAATTACATCCACTGACACACTAAGTGCAATCCTGAACAAAGTTTTTCCACCTTTCTAACAAACAAACAAAAAAAAGATGGGAATCCGAATCTGGAAACTGACACAATAATTTGCCTGAAGGAACCTTGAAGCTGAACTTGAGAGGAACAAAAACAAAGGTAATACTTTAGTGATAATTAGTTTTCCGTTTCAGCAGATCCTCCTGCTTTTTTCAAAATCTGCCCATTTTGTTTCTGAGAATCCCATTAAGTGTCAAGCTATGTAGCAACAGCAAGATTTTCAGAGGCAGCTATGGATAGATTTTTTTTTTTTACTACAAATAGTCTAGTTGTAAAAGAAAGGCTAGTAGTAATAAAATGTAAAGCTAATATAAATTATGATAAAGAATAAACACAGTGCCCACAAAGCTGGGCATTTCTACGAAGCCAAAGAATATTGTGCATAAAATTTCATCATATTATGTGCATAAAAATTTTTCATATTTTCTCAATAAACAATGGGCTGAATCAGAGTTGAGTGAGAAATCCATAATGCATGTATAGACCACTACATCACTGTGATGTCCTTTTTTTTTTGTACAAAATGATAGTGTAAATCAGTACAACGCAGTGGTCAGTTTTGCCCTTGGGGGCTTTTGGGGCACATCTTGACTCAATCCATAAATTACTTGGTGAGCAATTCAGCTATGTAATGGATCTAATAAAGTCACTTGGATTTACAAGGATTTAATGTAAAATACATCATTATTGAAAATTTACAGAAAAGTAGCTGCTAGATAGATGATAGCAAACTGATGACACACGTTACATGCCATGTCGTATTTGGTGACATGCTACCATGTCCCATTCTTGCTTAGTTTTCTGAGATTTTCTGAGGCTGCAGAGGCTGCACAAGAATGTGGGAGTACCGTGCTCCCATGAGGCCTCTGGAGTCTTCAAAAATCATGTGAGAATGAGGTGTGCTTTCCTATTCATTTTAGAAGCTATAAGGCCACACAAGAGAATTTTCCGAAGTTTCCAGATCTCATGAAACCTGGAGCTGCCTCCAATAGGCATTTTTTTTCCTGAGGAACAAAGTCAAATTGAAAAATATTTTCAATTATGTATGTTATGTATTGTTTCTCTTGTGTCTTTGGAAGGAAGAAGGTGATATTATGCACCAGAAGAATCAGGTTAGGCATTTTCTGCAGTTTTGTTACACTGAGCCCACAAGGTTTGGCATCACTGAGCTAGATTGTCCTGAATATGCATCCTAGTAGAGATCTTCTAAAAGTTGAGATACAGTGTTTAAAATGTGATAAGCACCAAAGAACCCAAACACCTGTTTCATATTAAGCAGAGATCTTCATGATAGGCTTCAGCAATAATATTAACAAACTACTTTTCATAATGCACAATTGTTACCTTAAATGAATATATATCATCTGGCTCTTGAAGAATGTTCAGAAGTTTAGTTTGTTTCAAGATTCCTTGATCTTCTAGCTCTAGGCTTATTTTTATTCAAATTCATACACGCTACAGCTTCATGAAGATTAACAGATGGTTAGATAAAGGCTTCAGATCAACTACTGCCTGAGTCTACCATTGACACTTCATATATGATTTAAGGGCACTTCTTCACTGCTGTCTTAACTGCTCCAATCCTGTGATGATGCCAGATGGACTCTAAGTTCCTGTGAGAACATTCTGTCCAGATTGGGATGCTTTAGTATGGTTGCCAGGTGTTCAGTTTGGACTGCCAGCAATCATCGCTCCCATTGGGCAATTTACCTGCTGCTGAATTTTCTAATTTTCCATGCCAGGAAAGTGATTGCCCATTTCTTTCCTTTCCGTGGGCAAATCCTCCTAAAAACACTTACTTTTCAGAAAAGTATGCTGCTTCCAAATTAAAAGCATAAAATGCACACACACAACAATCAACTTTCTTGCATTTGCCAGGTGTGTCTTCCTAATCTATGATACAGCTATTGTTGTAGAAATGTCACAGCAATACAGTGCTTATAATGTTTATCAAATATGCAGAATGCTGCTGGTTTGGAGTATGGTTGAAACATGTTTGTAATTGGTATTTTTCTTTTCTGAGTTCCGACATTATTACTTGTGTTTACACAGTGTGAAAGAAAGGTTTTACCCCAGCTCCTGAATGGCCAAAACAAATAAGTACCCCAAAAGATGATTTACTGTATTTAAAAAATGGGGGGGGGAATGGACTCCGGTTTTTAACAGTATAACTGAATTAATAGTTCTATTTGTCCAAGTAACTTGAATGGGCTTTGTTCAATCAGTTTAATCATTTGTCAATGTTCCTTTGGATCACAGATTCTCTTTAGCGCAGCTGCATTAACAATCAAACTGTAAATTTATGATGTGAGTGATTTGTTCGAGGTTTCGGAAAGTGGTGACTAATTGGCAGAGTTGTCTATGTATAATTATTTTAGAATACCCTCTCCTCAATTCATTGGAACCTATTTCTGCGTAGACATATCTACCTACAAAGGAGCAACCTCTCCCACTAATATCAAAAGTAATTTAGTACAAAATAAATACTTTCATTTACCTGGGATGAGTAGGATCATCTTGAGACAGATAATGAAATAAAGGAGTTCAAAACAGATTTTTGTAATAATGAGTGATTTCAATCACCTTTACAATAAAATGGATAAATGTATCTTATGATCCAGAAAGAGAGACAACATTTCTGGGTTCCACAAATGATTATACTATGAAGCCAACCAAAGAAGATATGAACTTGATTTATTATATGTTATGAAATGTGAACTTATTTGAACAGTTTGGAAATAATTAGCTATAAGTGTAATTTATAGTAAATTACCAAGTCAAAAATTATTAATAATTTTATAGCTGGATTTTATATTTCTTGAATTTTTATCTTGCTACCAGTCCTTGGAGAATCTTTTTATTATCTGAACACTTGCTAAGATCCATCTTGCATAGAAAAGCCGACACTTATCTTTCTTATAAGACAGAAAAGTAAAATATTTGTAAAAGGCATCTGTTGAAGCTGCCTTTTCCTAGAGTAAGCACAGGGTGATCAGATCTGCACCCTAGTCCTTCCAAGCCCATCCACCTGCTTATGCAGATATTCTTAATAACAAATTTGGATTTAAAGGATAATATTTTAAACCCTGTACTAATAGGAAATGAATTTTTATAAGAAAAAATGAAGGTCAAATTTATAATTTTTTTTAGGGTGAAAAATCCTTTGGGGGAGCCATCATGCAAAGTGAATCAGACTATGACCAACATATAGGCAAAGTCAAAATTTCCAGTTTTTTAAAGGCTTGGAGTATGTAGCATAGAGAGCATTTGTCTATAAAGTCGCCAAGAGTCAGACACAACCGAACAGTTAAAACAACCACAACATGTACTGTGTGCATCTACACACATACAATATATCAAGCCTAACTTAGCACTTATATTGTAATTATAATCATATCAATGACAAAATTGTACAAAATAATGTCATTGATTTGAGCATATTCTCTGAAATTGTTCATCTCTGCCAATTTTTTCCTCCTTTTGTGTTTTTGCCATTTTGTCTGCTGAAGATGTAATGATTTGGACAATCGTTTTCCAGAGCTAGTTTCTGATCTTGAATCATAATAATATGGATTAATATGGATAGACAGTTCAGTTTTGTGAACTCACCAACATGAGTATGGACATCTCCGGCTGTAGCGGCAACAATAAAACTGCCACTCTCGATCAAGCACAGATGGAAAATATTGGCTCTGGAATCCTGCCACTAGCCCATTATTTGAACATGTTTGATACCTGGAGGGGGAAAAACCCACATTTTAAAATACATAAATATTAGGAAAATAAAAATCATAACTACAAGCTCTTCCTTGCAGATTATTAGAAACTAGTGGCAACTGATACAGATTAAGAGAGTTGGAAGAAACTTTGTAGGTCATCTAGTCCAACCCCCCGCCCAAGCAGACCCTACACCATTTTTGTCAGATGGCAGTCCAGTCTCTTCTTGAAAGCTTCCAGTGATGAAGCTCCCACAACTTCTGAAAGAAAACTGTTCCACTGGTTGCTCTCACTGTCAGAAAATTTCTCCTTATTTCTAGGTTGAATCTCTCCTTGGTCAGTTTCCATCCATTATTCCTTGTCTGGTCTTCAAATGCCTTGGAAAATAGCTTGACCCCTTCCTCTCTGTTGCAGCTTCTCAAATATTGGAACACTGCTAGCATATCTCCCTTGGTCCTTCTCTTCACTAGATTAGCCAGTTCCTGCAACCGTTCATCGCATGAGAATTACTAATGACCAGATTCTCATAAATATTTTTTCTCTTAAAGAAGCATAAGAAAGGAGATAAAATTGTGACTGTTGAACCTATCCATCCATCTGGTAGGGTTTTTTTTTCCCCTCTGTTTAAATTATAGCATTTCTTTATTTTTTTAAAAATTTACATTTGAGTATGTGCATTTCTTTTTGTTTTGAGAAAATGGAAGTGACCACCCTAAAGCCAGTATAAAGAAATTCTGTACAGGGTTTTCTTCCTGCTCCCTTTCTCCCTTTCATTTTTAACAAGTCTACTGTGTCAAACTTCTAACCATGTGAAATATTTCCTCATATTGCCACTCCTATTTCCTGAAAAGCTATAGCCTCTTTTGTTTTTCGGGAAATAGATGCCAAACCATGTTCTTCTTCCATTTTTTTAAAAAATGCAATGCATAAAAATCTTGGCTTCATTCTCTGCACTGTTTGACTGGGAGGAACAAAAATAGATATGCAGATACATATCTGCATATTCTCCAGGCACTTAAAGCCCCTATTTTCCACTCTCCAACCCTTTGGAATCATTTTGAAAATGGCTTGTGGTTATCCTCACCACAGCTATCTTTCAGATGTAGAGGACTCAGCAGGAATCAATCAGCATTCCCCACCATTAAGCAATAAGGAGTGCAGAAATCAACATTTACCATCCTAGTTTATTGTTTTTATGTCATACTTTTTTCTCCTTAACAATTAAAAACAACCAGGATTGCTTTGAAGATAAGTAAAGTAAAGCCATCTTTAAGACCACATTGATTTAAGAAAATCATTGTGAAGATATTATAGTGTGATGGTAGCTAATTTTGCCATGTGGAAGAGGAGGAGAAGCCAAGGTAAAATGGAAATTTCCACCAAGAAGAAAATGTCCAATTAGAAAATCAAATGTTTCTGATAAAATAAAAACAAAACTTTTTTCTTCTTATTATTTTCCTTTGATTATCTCCAACAATGAGGAAGGGACTGTAGAACACAGACTTTCTATTCTGAAAGCTCCAGATTCAGTCCTTGAGATTGCCAAGAAGTCAGGAAGAATACCAGCCTGAAACCCTAGACAGCTGTTATCCTCCAAGGCTGATATGTTGGAATTGATGGATTAAAGATCTGACTCAGAGTAAAGCAGTTTCTGAGGTTTCTATGGTTTTTTTAAACAAAATTAAATGCGACACAATACTTGTGTTCCACTATCATATCTAATTAAGCAGCTTTACAGGGCAAAAATAAACGTCTCTGCTGTGATTCAACCATATGGAAAAGGATGATATAATGGAGACAGAACAGGCCTCTGAAATCATCAATCCCTTATTAACCGTTGGAAGTCCTGGGTACTTTCTTAGCTTACAAGGTTTTTGTGAGGATAAATTGTTCAAAAATATTCTCTGTTGGGGCATACAAGTGAATATTCATTGCATATATTTAATTGTTTGTATCTATTTTCATTTTAAATAACCCTCATCCAGGTCTTTCTTAATCAAAAAAAACTGTCACTCCCATTTCTTAGCAGCCTTGGTACCAAATCAATGTAAGTTTCAATAAACAAAGCCCAAAGACATATATAAACATAAATACCATTGTTTTTATAGTAATTTTATTAAGAATTATAATTTCACAATAAAAACTAATTCAAAACAAAAAAAGCTAAAAGAATATTTTTCTCTTTTTTTTACTTTCTCTTCTGCATTTTCTACATATAACATAAATACTATTGTTAACAGATGTGAAAATGTTTTGTATTTAGATACTGTAATGTTTTCATTTAACCTGAAATGCTAAGCGGTGGTGAGATTGTTTCTTGTGGCATTTTACATTTCAGCATTTTGATAATCAGAAACGTAGAAATGTATGACTAAACAGGATTCCACGCAAATAACTTCCTCATATCACTATGGCAAGAATGTCATGAAGGACTTAACTATGGGATTCTGAGGTAAGTGGGAAGGTGGACTACAAGACTATGAGGCACGGTGTTCTTTGCCAAAGTGAACTAGAACTTCCTTAGTCTGATAAGTACTTGGCATGATAACAAGATTTTCAGGTTTTACTGTGATAAATGACAGATTGTTGTAGAAGTCAAAGAATCAGGGGAATTAATGAGTTCAGCAGAGGTAGAAAACTTTCATCAGGTAGAAGTCGACACTGTAGGTCCAATTAGAAGCCCAAATGTTGACGTTTCTAAGAATGTTTAAGGACTAAAATAGCCTCTAAATTATGTCGTTGTTCCCCCTAAATAAAATACGGGAAAAAAATATGCTGCTGCAAAAACACCATGAGCTCTTCTTTTTGTATATTCGCATAGTAGAGACTAGTTGTTTCCTTTTTTTGTTGGAGTTTCTATTTCATGCTACACCCCAGGCAAGATAGTTAGCACTTAAAGCTATGCATTGCATTTCAGTTGGCTGAAAAGCCTGTGAGGACTAGCCCACATCAGTTCTTGGGGGCGGGGGGATATTCCATATTGTACTGGTAAGGAAGAGTCTAGGGAGGATCTCCTTTCCCTTGAAGCTCTCTGTACACTATCAAATTTACTTCAATGGAAGGATATATTTGCTTCAGTAGCACTGAAGTAACCATAACTTCCCCAAATTTCATTCCTTTGGGAATAAGGGATCCCATATTTTGGACACATTCTGTAAATTAGCCCTTTTGAGGTACCTTGCTTCAAAGACTATTGTCCTATGTTTCACCCAGTTAAAGGTCATGGCAATGAGCATTTCACTAGTATATAAATTTAAAATGCCATATCAGATAATGGTTAAAGTTCTTTGCAAGAAACCGGGAAATCTTGAGCTTTACCACAGAGGTGATCTGGGTGACCCTCGGCCAGCCACTCTCTTTCTCAGCCCAATCTACCTCACAGGATTGTTGTGATGGGGAGATAGGAAGAGAGAACATTACATACAGTATATTGCCTTGAATTATATAAAACAAAGGCAGGATATTAAGGAAATAAACATAGAAATAATTAGATAATTCCATTATGCAAAAACAACAGTTTTCATTTAAGTTTCTTTTTAATCACAGATAGATTATTCTTTCGGTGTTCTCTTAAATATTTTGCACATTAATAATATAATTCAATTCTAAGTCCTTGCAAATATACACATTTTAAAAATGTAATTACTTTCTGTTTTCAAAAATTAAAGGAAAAAAAACTGATGACATTGGGGAATTAGAGAGGTATTTAATAGTGACACATACGTGATTGTTTATATACAGACATCTTTGTTCAGAAGATTTTCTTGGCATCTGTACAATTTTTCATGGTTGTCAAATGTGAATGGTTACTTAAAACCTCAGACAGAAGTTTATTATCTGTCAATTAAATAACTGAGTATTTGTTATCCTGGATGTCAAAACCAGACATGACTAGATCTGTGATTCAACCCCAGTACTACCAGCTATCCCCATGTTTTGAAACTCAGTCTGTCATGAGCCAGTCCTTAAAATGCCTGAAGAACAATATTTGTTGCAGACAGTTAACTGTGATATCATTAAAGCTATAGTTGCTTATACTGTATATATTTAAATAGATTTATTTTTATTCTGCCATAATGTTTTTGTTTGGCTATTTTTAAAAAAGTTTCGCAAGTACCACTTCTGCGTCCAGAAATATGTTTGGCTAGAGCCAATAATGGAACAAAACAAGGGAATAACTACGTGACAAACATTTTCTTCTTCTCCCCACAAAAAACAATAACAAAAATAATTCAATTTTCTGTCATTAACATAATTTCTTAGAAAGATGAAATTTTTTTAGAACAAATTCAATAAATTTAGGAACTAACAATTAGTTAATTTAATTAGAAATTAATGCAATAAGTGCAATCCCTTTACCTCAGAAGACAAAGAAAATGTTACAACTGCTTCATATATAGAAATGAATAGCGGTATCACCACTACAGTACACAAAGATGATGATGCTAACTTAACAAATTATTATGGTATTAACATGCAGTTTTGCATCCACCATTTGAAAATTGCATCAGCCTAACCACGCACAACAAGGAATCTAAGTTTAAACTTGGTTTCCTACCATTGCAGTCCAGCTCTGTTGATTTCTTCCCACCAACATTCAGTAGGCTCTCCAAGTGTATCGGGGGTGGGCATACAGGCATAATTCCACAATCTATCAGACCCTTCTTTCTTGCTGAACATGCTCCTCACAGCTACAATTACTTGCCCATGAGGGCACTGGAAGTTGAAACCCTGCCGGTACACATTAACCCAATCATCATTAGCCCTATAGTCATCATAGGAATGGTAATAGTTCCCATATTGGCCCCATGCCACTGTGAATAGTGGCATGGACATGCAGAGAAGAATAAGGTCCATGTTACTTGAGCTTCTGGCTGCAAAACGCCTAAGTGGCGTGGTTGTACTGACTTTTTTATAACCATCTCTAACATTTGGATTCCAGATGTGGGATAACTAGTTCCAAATGCTATGTGTCACTGTTTAGATAAGATTTCTGAGCAAAAGAATTGGCTGCAGATGCATTTAATTAGTTTTAAGGTGGAATTTTATAAGCATGCTATCCTTTGCATAATCAGCACTGGGATAACCTAGAACTATAAATCATTTATAATCCCAGATGTAAGGAATTTAATAACATATGTTTGCACAGTAGCTAAAGTGGGAGACGAAATAAGCCATTTCAATTACTGTAAGTAGTGCAATGTTGGAATGCTTGGAATCACAGAGAAATGTTAGGTTGCAATTTTTTGTGATGTGATAAAAGCTGTTTTGACACAATCCCTGATTTTATTTATGTTTATATGACCTGGACACACGGCCTCTGTCAGAATACTAACAATTTAGTGGAAAGAATAAATAAACAATAATAACTAAATAAACAGGAATAATGGACTAAATCCAGGTAACTTGCACGTACAGTTGATAAATGCACTTTCTAGATCACAGGAGGATTTTTCCCAGGAACGTTTCAAGATGTTCCTCATTGATTGAAGAATATTTATGTGGAAATCTGTATTTGGTTGAGTAGAGAACCAATCGATGAGAGGGCAGAAAGATTATTTGATCTGACTCTCCAGCTCAAAGGGGATATCAAAGCATTGCCTCGCTTCTTTTTCTTCTACTCTACTGTACCAATTCAAATGAAATCTGGATCATATTTACATGTTATAATGTTATTTTTTTGGCTATGGTGCTCAAAGGCTGTAAATGACTAGATAAAATATTATTGTGGTTATTTTTTATTATTATTCTTCCCTGAGGTACTTAAATCCCTAATTGCTACTTTACTGGAATGATTTTAACTATATTAAACATGTTTTTGTGCTGAACTGACTTATATGATAAATAAAGAAATGAAAAGTCCATCTATTATGGAAAATAAAGCATCTATTTTATACATATTTAAATAAATCCCTTAGCTCTAAAACTTCACAGAAATATAAATATGTAAGGTAATTCTATGATCCACATTGTCTGTAGTTTTGGTTTGTAGCTCTCATATGGGTCTGACATAACCTTCAGCACTTACAGTAAGCACCATTGCTTGCTTGTTCCTAAAGAAGGAAAAAATTATGTAGTAGAATTCAAGATGAAGAAAAAAATAACCACATTTTTCAAAATTTTGTGTCATTTTTCTGAATGAAGACTTATCAGATTGCTTTTTAAAAGTATGGTTTTGCTGGCTGGTAAATTTTGGGAACTGAAGTCCACAGGTGAAGACAATATATGGGACAACACCCACTATCCATTCCAAATGTTCAGCAGAAAGAATGTCCAGAATGCTTTATGCATGCTCCATCTGATCTGAACAACTTTTCTGCTCCAAAAAGTCATTAAAAGCATTACATGAGCAAAACACAAACAAATTTGCAGCCTGGGAAATAAAATAATTTAGGTTGATTGTAAAGACAATGAATCAAAAGCACATTTTTGATGCTCCAAATGTCTGTGGAAGAAATATTTCCATGTCATATTCCAGTTTCATACATAGTCTGTACAAGGGGGAAATGCACTTCATTTATTAATTTTTTTATGTTGACAATATCATATTATGCTTATCTGCCAATGTGTGTTAAAGCAATGTCTCCATAAAGGATGATTTAATTTGTTGGAGTGAGAAATCTAAAGGCTCCAATTCCAAATACAAGAGGCTCCTTGTGGAGGAAATTCCTTTCAGTTGGTGGAGATTTCAAATATATTTCAAATATTACTGGACTGCTTATCCTCAAGTATCAACAAGTATAGCCATCTGTCGAGAATGTGTTAATTTGAAATCCTGTACTGAGCAACATTTGGTCTGCAGCCATGGCAAATATTGCTTTAAATTATGATAAAATTTAAAATTATTAGCTGCCAATGCAGCTGAGCAACAGCATCATAGCCAGTCTCCATGGCCACCTTATTGCTCTTTAGAAGAAAATGGAGAATATATCTAATGAGGCAGCAACCACCAAAGTCTTCCCAGAGCAAAGAAGGCCTTTTCTTGTCTCACATTCAGGGTAAAAGTTATCATGCTTTGATAAATTTGTTCCAATATTATAATTATTTTATCAGATTTTAAGCATCTTTCAGAAATCATCCTCATTCATAGCATTTCTATACCCGTAATGCCATTTTCTCCTGCAAGGTGATATTTGGTATATTTTATCCAAATCTCAGCTTTTATTATAGTAGCAGAGGACGTGACTGAATGATCATAATAACCTGTAGGATAATTCTGAAACAATCATTTTTAATAATTTCCTATTGATTCACAGGGAGAAAACAGAAGTCAGGATTTGACTGATATTCAAAGTGAGAATAAACTTTTAGATGGTCAGGCTGGTCATGAGAATGAGATTTTGTGGGGCTCATTTGCTGAGCATTTCCCAGCCCAAGTTACTGTTTCATATATTTCAGAAGGTTTTGATGCAGGCAGAGGGAGAAAATCAAAGACCAAATGGACATTGGATCTGTTAGTATCTTTATGCCACTGTGTGGTTTACATGGGAAGAGGGAGGAGAGAACATTTTTCTAAATTCACCATGATTTGTTTATTGGGGAGATAATGTGATCTATTATAAAAGTTCATGTACTAATTCCTTTTAGCTTCTAGTATCACATTTTAACAATAGTGATATTTAATGTTTATATACTTGAGATCAGTATTTGTAAATGTTGCCAAGGGCCACCTAAAATTTGTGATTGTAATGAGACTTCCCCAATCATTTTTTTTCTCTGTTTCTTGAGCATTTTTCTTCCTGCCTTCCAGATTATGACATTATACTGCAAAATTCAAGGGTCCCCTCCATCTCCATTCAAAATCTACATTAATAAGTGGAACTGATCACTTGAACTTCAATTCAACAATGAAGAAAGTAGGGTAGGAAATATGAGTGTGATGAAGAAAAGTACCAAGTATTAAGTATTAAGGTTTAGATTATCCTTCCTTTTATCTTTTTAAAAAAATATTAGAACCCATCAGCTCTCAAATGAAGTGAGTCAACAAAGATAATGGTTATGCAACTGCAGTGGAAGGAAACTTAATTTACAGCTCCATATAATGCAGAAACACCAATTGAGCACATATTTTCTACGCGTTGATGAAAAAATATTGGAAGAAAAATCTCCATATAGATTTTCAAGGTATCTCTCCAGAATGGTTAATGTGGATATACCATTCCAAATTATTATTTTTTTCATATATGTACTTTAAAATCACTTTCAGAAGTAAATATACATGGACAGTCAATATTACCATGTGTGTGCATGTGTGTTCAACTTTTAATATCAGAAAAACTTTTTAAAGAAAGCAATTCAAAACAAAGTAGCAAAATTTGAGTTCTGGGGAATTGCATACTTCAAGCCTTTTAAATATTTACAGAAACTTTATGTGAACACAATTTCTATTGAACACTATACTTGATTGATACTTCAATAATGAAAGAAATGTATGAGCAAGTTACAGAATCTATGTCATATTTTAGAGGAATAAGAAACTTGAAATTAATTAACATAGTTCTAAGGACTCGAGACACACATCTTTTTAATTGTAATGTTGTGAATTATGGCATATTGTATTATTTCAATGCAAATTTCCATGCAGTGCTGTTTAATTATTAACATTCTATTATTTACAGAGCTTCAAGTATTGAAAATAAAAAGAGAAAAGTAAGAATTCTATCAACATAGAAGAATTCTATCAAAAGTAAGAATTCTATCTACGCTCCCACAGAGAGGGTCTCCTCAGGGAGCCATTGGCCAAACAATGAAGGCTGGCGACCCCCAGGGGGAGAGCCTTCTCTGTGGGGGCCCTGGCCCTATGGAACGAACTGTCCCCGGACATACAAAGGACCCCCGACCTCCGCGCCTTCCGTCGTGCTCTGAAGACCCTATTATTCCAGCAAGCTGGTCTGACGGGATAAAGGATTTTAAATTGGGTTTTGATAGGGGTTTTAAAATGATTTTAGTTGGGTGTTTTAAATTCGGCCAATGATTGAATTATTTTAATTAAGTTTTTAAATTTTTGTTGTATATTGTTTTTACCATGGCTGTTCACCGCCCTGAGTCCTTCGGGAGAAGGGTGGTATATAAATATAATAAACTAAACTAAACTAACTAAACTAACATTAATTGCCATGAAAGATGGCTTGAAACCATGGAAACACCTGCGCTATTTCAATAGGAGGGAAAAAAATCTTTTGGAATATACCTGGCATATTGACTAGCAAACCTTGTGTATTTGTATTTGTAGATCTGGCAATAGCTATATAGTATGAACATGTATTACAATAAGTAATCATGTAACTGCTGCACAATTGTACCAATTGTACTGAAACAATCATACTGAAAAGAGTTCCTTTTCTCCCCCAAACTTTTTTCTTATAAAACCGCTAATCATTTTTTTCAGTCAATTATCACAAATAATACATTATGCACCCTGTGCCTAATTTATCCCTAATGTGGCTTTTGGGAATGTAATGTACATTTTGAAAGACAAAATGCTTTTTAGAATGGCTTTTCAACAATGATGCTATCAGGGTGGAAGCCAGATGCTAGTTTATAAGTGTTTACATGAGCCTTCTCCACACCCCCAAATTCAGCTTGTATGATAAGAAAGCATACATTTTCATAGTATATGCACATCTTAAGTTATAGAGGCAGCTACAAATTCTAGACATGGTTCTGGTCATATACATAGAAATACATTATGGTTTATCATATTAATGAACTAACTTGGCCCTTGTATGGTTTATCTATTGTAATTTTCCTTTCATAAAGTAAATGTCCATAGGAATGATGAAGCCATTGCATGCACAGCTACAGTATTTATACAGAATCTTCCATAAGTGCAAAGATTCTGACAGCACAGCTTTCTGCTTGTGTGAAAATACTTGGACCTGTGAAGTTCTGATAA